GACCGGTTTTAAAGGGTTAAAGGTTGCACTGTTGCTGAGCATCTCCGTCTCTTTGTGACGACAGCGTGCTCATCTCTTCATGGCTGCTTCAAGCACGCCGCGAAGCTCAAATCATCTCCACCCCGTTTCTCGAACAGAACAATGAGTTCACTGTCCTCCAAAGGCCTCCACAGTCACCAGATCCAGTCGAGCATCTTCACTTTTGTGTGAGGAACAAACAAAAATCAGCAAAACTATTCACTGTTATTTTTTAGTGAAGTACACGCACAGGCCTCTGGTCTTTAGTGGGCGGGTTTTAAACAGCGAAGGGAGAGCGACAGTAGAGGGATGTTTTATTTAATCCAACTTCTGCCTAATGCAGGTTTAAATAAACAATATTAGCAGTACTGAGGAAGAATAAGAAATATTCGTAATAGTGTATCTAGAACACGATTGAATAGATGTGTAAAAGTGTTTTAAGCTGAAGCAGGACATGATGGATTCTAATGCGATAAAACCGCTAAAAGTCTGTGTGATTATTCTGAATCCCTTCAGTCCCCAGGTAGGCCCGACATTAGTCCTAAACAAACAGAGACTCTGGTAACTTTCATGCAATCTGTCACTCACATCTTTCTGCTGCTCGTCTATGTTGTTATTGTTTGTGTAAAGCGACTTCTCCACATATAGCACGTGCAGCAATCGGCCGCTGGTCTGCAGGATGTGGCCTCTTCACCTTCTTCCTGTTTGAGGTCGTTCCTCTGCGGTGTTGCTAAACCAGTGTGACTTATCGCGGTAAGCGGGAGGTGACGAGCTTGAACAGATGTTCGGCACCACTTCCCTTCGGCAAGGCTTGGTGAAAAACACCGAGCCTGCCCGTCACCTCTTTGTGCTTTTTAACTGGTGATTAAACTCCATCTTTCACCCAGATTAGGTCAGACTTTACGAGACAGTTTGTGCTTTTTCAAGCGACCTTTTTCAGCATGGCGGTGCTGCATGTGCCGCAACAGGATGTTTACAGCTGTCAGAGCAATACGAGAAAATAAAAGTGGGTGATAGGGTTTATCCTCATCAGATTTACAGGACGCTTTAGACACTTTAGCGTGTTTTTCCCCCACAGTCGAGAACCCGCTCTCGTCTCCGCTCAAAGACAGATTTAATTCATTTATCAGTTTTGGTTCACCAAACATGACTGTGCCGGTTATCGGCGGTGTAGCAGCACTCACCACTTTGCAACACAGAGGCCACAACCACCACATGAGGGCCAGGGCCACGAGGAG